CTCATTTTAGCTAAAATTCCATAATTTTTAAGCACATGTTTCCAGATCTTGGGATCCAAATTAGTGCAGAGAAGCTTAATATCAAAATTCAGCATTTCACATTTATCCCTATTAAGTTTCATCTTGGTCAGTTCAAAGCGACATGACCTCTTGACATAATGGTTCAGCTTAACAAAATACTTCTGTTTTTGTTGATATCACTGTGAAATTCACTTATAGAAGTTCTGTCATTCTTCATCTTTTAACATCAACCTATTTGTGTTGATAATTAGCATTTATCATTGTTGTATTCTTTGTGCCCCAAATTAGGATTGGTTAGGGGGAGAGGGACATAAAAGTATATGGTTACAGGCTTGTTACTAAGATGAAGAAAAAAGAAAGGAAAGAAGGAAGGAAGGAAGGAAGGAAGGAAGGAAGGAAGGAAGGAAGGAAGGAAAGAGGTAAACCTTATTTGGAATAATATAATAGTATTCTCTACAGACCAAGAAAGCGAAATCATTCTATTGATAACTGTGAAATATTTGATTATGTGATAAAAAGATCTAATTAATGTATGAATGGAAAGGAGAGGTGAAAATGGTCTGAAAGAGTCAGAATGAGATGCTCAGGTAGCAAGAATGGTAGTTCACAGAGACCTAATAATTTTGAACTACGCCTGAAAGAGAAATCACTAATACTCTCGTTTTTTAAAATCTCAACTTAATTTAAACAAACGGTCTTATTTACTATCTTTCTCATCCTAAGCTCTAATGGTAAAATGCATATCCATAACATGAAATGCATTTATTAAAACATAAATATGCTCCAAGACAATATATAATTCTCTAGAGAACTGATATCAAATTAGCTCCTAAGTTTTTGTCCTTGGAGTTTCCAGAGTCCACCTTCAAACACTAATCAAACTTGCATTCCTGTTTTGTTGTTTGTTAAAATATGTATTGAAACATGGGGATCAGAAGGACAAAATCATCCTTGGCTGCACTGAAAGTTTGAGGCAAGCTTGGGCAAAATGGAGTCTTGTCTCTAAAATACAATAAAATAGTAGAATAAATATTGTATTTCCAGAAGCTCCACAAAATATTTGATTACTAAGAGGATATTAGATAAGAGTAAATCAATTTAAAAATGTTGCACAAAACAAGAGCACAGATTTGTAATCGTGACAACTTTTTGTTTTTTCCTGAGAAGTGGAAAAAAGCAGATGATGGTACCTTCCTATCCCACTCAAAAGGCTTTTAGATTTCTCTCCTCCATTAAAGGAGGATGTGAGAGAACCAGAGTTGATTGCTGCTTTTCTCTACAACAGAAGCTCTATACAAAAAGCAGTTGTATTTGGAGAAAAGACTGGCATGATCAGAGACTGCCCCCTGCCTTCGTAAATAGCAATGGTGTTCTATTGCTGTTAAAAGAACCTTAATCAACCTTAAAAAGACTTTATGTATATAAACTATCTATAGCTGAGGTATATTTGTCACTCAGTGACTCTAAGAGACTTGTATGTTATAAATGTTATAAAATGTTATAAAATGTTATAAATGTTATAAAAATTATCTCTAAGTATTTCATGAATCAATAATGGGCACGATGGGTCAGGTGCTAGACTTTTGCTGTTTGTTTCAGTTAAGCAAAGAGAAGAAACGCTGAAAATAACAGTACAACTATATAATTACAAAAAAGAAATCTCTGGTTATTAAGCTTTGCTCTAAAACTTAAAAAAACAAATATGTGTAGGATTATCAAAAAATGCCTTGAATTTATGTCCTCTGATAAATTTTTTTAAATCCCTGTAAATATTTTGTGTGACTTCTTTTAATATGTGAAAACATCTGTCTGGAAGTATTTTGCTACATTTGGGGTACTTTTGAATCTGTCTTATGACCTTTTTGGGGTTATGTTTGTAATACAGAGCTTTCTGGTCAAGAAATGAAATAACAGTAAGTTATTAATCTGCCCGTTGCTCTAATTTATAAGAAAGTTGCCAACATCTCATATGATAAAGGACTTTTTCCTACCTAGCAAATTTCTCTCATTACTTCCTGATTATCTAAATCACAATTTTGGAAAAGCATTCATATTCAGTAGGAAGAATCCCCAGGGTGCTGGATCAGTATTTGGGAATCTCGTACCCGGGGTCAGCAAGTATTTGCATCAAACTGGGGGAATTTACTCTAAATGACTCCCATTTACCCAAAGACAACTACCTTCCTTAGACCCGGAGAAGGGTAGGCAAGTTGTGAAACCTTAGGCTGATTGCTTTAGCTTCCTTAGGTTCCCGAAAATCTCTCCCGAGACAACTAAGCATTCTGGAAAGTACTTGAATGGAGTTTGCGTCTTTAAACTTAAAGTGTGCCCTAAATTTTTTCTCACAATACATTCTCCCTGGCTGATGTTCCCCAAACCTCCAAAGCTGGTCAGTTCGGCCAGCTCTCAGCCAAGCCTCTGCCTAGAGAACCCAGGCAGGCGGGGTGCGCTACAGAAGCCAAGAAAACGGAACCTCTGCTCACAGCCAAACCCGGCGCCAGGAGCCGGGCTGCACCCAGCAAGCTATCGGCATCTATGGCTCGCTACCGCGGCCACAGCGCCGCTCAAAGGCAAACTGGCCTGCAGCTGTCAGTCTTCTAGAACTCTGAAGCCTGAGCACACTTCTGCCAATTGCCTTGCTAGCTAACTTTCTGCCACACGGAAACTCTTCCCATTACAGGGTGTCTTCACTTCTTATCGCCATACTTTTTCTTTTCCCAGGAAGGAGAGAATAGCCTAAATTTCTAAATGTGTAATAACAAGAATAATTATAATTATTGTCATTATTACTTTGGTCCTCCTAATTATATTTGTAGTGGTCAATTTCTCCAAGCCGGTTCCCGCGGAAACTGGTAAAAGAGAACAGGTTTCGATACATGCTATGTCCTGCACAGACCTCAGAGGGCTAATTTTCCTTAGTGAATATATCATAGGAATTACTATTTAAGTTTTTGAAGTAATATAAATGTCTCAGCCTCCAACAAAATAAAGAGAAATCGCGCCAGAAAAGACAGGATGAATGTATTCCACGTTGGGCGGCATGAAGACACTTGGGAAGTTTTTAAAGATGTGTGCTTAATTATTTCAAGAGAAGACATACGTTTTATCTTTGATATTTATAAAACAGTTCTCGTTAACAAAGCGTTTCTAAAGATGCTAGTGTTGTGCTGTGGGACTTGGCAGCGCTGTCTCTGCCACCTGCAGCACCATACAGTAGTATGCAACAGATGCTTCAAGAAAACTGCGATGGATTTTTCCTTTGCGAAACAGAACCTGGGTGTGGACAGTGTATTCAACTACCAAATTAAATTTCAAAACCCTGCAAAGTACTTGAACTTTTTAACGATGGAGAGAATCAGGATTCCCAAATGCCCTTCTTAGAATATAAAGAGCCTCTTACAAATCTAGAGGCACAGAGAGAGATTATTGGCCCCAGGGCGCCAAAGATAAAGGGACCCAACTCTTTTCTTTTCTTTCAACTCATCCTGGGATCCTAATTTCTATAGCTCCTGAGGCCAACAATCCCAGCCGCTCCCTTCCCTTCTCCATTCTTCTGAGTTTGACCCTCCAGAGCACCATGACGACTTTTTGCAGTCTCATCTGTATAATCACTGTTCCATCTTTGGGTCCCACAAAGCTGTACCAAATTCCGCATCTCTTACTTTGATACAACTACCTCTGAACAGTGGGGAGCCCGTCTCTACTTCTCCCGTCTGCCATCCTTTGGTGCTGAGGATCCGCGGCCAAGACCAGGGACAATCACCCACTGCACCACCACAACTAACCCAATTATTCATTCTCTCATAGAAAAATCTGCTTTAACCTCCTTGTCTGTGGGTGAATCCCCACTTCTGGACTTGGTTTTGATGTTACTGAGGTGTCTTAGTCAAGGTCATCCCCCCCCCAAACCTCTGCGCCTCCTGCTGCTGCAGGACACTGAGGGCACCTGCGGTGAGGCACTTTCCTGTTAATGTGGAAGCTGAGCATACAGAGCACACCGAAGTTTTCAAAAGAGAGCCTTTTGGGGGTTATCTCTGACCTTACCTTGACAGCTGGCTGAGCAACTAACTGTGGCCCCTTAAACTCTGCAGGAGGAAGATTCAAAGCCCCCCCCCCAAAGAATGAGCAGCCCTCCAAGGTGTGTTTATAAACCCTTAACAGAGTGTGAGGGAGAAATCCTGTGCCTTAGATCTTGAAACCCAAAGGCTTTCCTTTCTCCCTTTGAATGTGGGGATGAGGGCAGCGCTGGGGAAGCAGGACATCAAATAGGATTGTGGCCTTTGAGTGAGGATTCTGTCAATGCGTCCTTGTTCCTGATGGAATGGAGACTCTAGGAGGGTGTTTCAAGGATCAGTGAAACCAACAAGCCTTGGGAAATATGTTCCTGGAATTCAAATACATGGTGGTGGGGAGTGGGCGGTTAAGGAGTGTTGTTGTTTGAACCTTTGAAAGGTTCAGTCTTGACAAAGATTCCCTCCCCCCGAGCACCTCCCCCCCGAATCTGGTGCCATGGATGACCTCAGTTTCTCCCAGTCTCTGGGTCTTATGAATCAAATTAATCACCATTCCACCCACGCCACAGGGTCTCTAGTCACCTTGCTAGCAGGTTCCAGACGCACTAAAAGACTGGTCCAAACAGGCCCTGAGCAGAGTAATGCTAGGCACTGATTGGCTGCTCTTGGCCCCTCCCTTCATCACGCTTTTGGCCCAAGAGCTCAGTGCAGCTTCACCAGCGCTGGGTAGGCGCTCTGGTGCTGCCGAGGAAGCTACCTTCCTCGCGTGCACTGATCCTTCTGATTCAGCCTTTGGAGCAGCAAGACTGGTAGTCTTGGCTGCTCCTTTGGCCTGTCTTTCCCTTACCTACCTATTTCATATGAACTTTCCTTCATTCTGCACGTCGTTGTCGTCGGAGTCCTTGTCGAGATCGTCGTGGTGCTCCTGTGGTGGCCTTCGTCCGTTTAGAATAGTGTAGTTAGTTAGGGGCCATCGAAGAAGAATTAAGCGATTGGCGCGGTGATGCTGGAGGTGTCAGTTACTAAGCTAGGGTAGGATAGTGGAATCACACCAGCTAAACCTTGCCGGGAGGCGCACGGTCGCCCACTGGAGGTCGACTTGCAGGCGCTTCCCATCTCGCCGAGCTCCCTCCGTTCTTTTCTTCCTCTGCTGAGAGGCCAGGTTGCGGCGCGCAGCTCAGCGCAGCGCACCGACTGCCGCGGGCTCCGCTGGGCGATTGCAGCCGAGTCCGTTTCTCGTCTAGCTGCCGCCGCGGCGACCGCTGCTTGATCTTCCTCCCGGACGCTAGTGGTAAGTTGGACCCCCGGCGGCTTTGCTAGCCGAGACACTAATGATTTAGGCGGGGGGTGGGGGAGTGGAGTGGGGAAGGGTGGACAGTTCAAGAATGGTTGCAGCCAGCAGGACCACACTGACCGGGGCGCAGGGTGGGGAGTGACTCTGTGCGCCCAGATCCTGAGGAGACTGGGGTCTCTGGAAGGAGCAGGGAGCTGGGTTTCACTAGGTAAACACCCGATTCTCAAGGAGGTTGGGGGGCCGGACTCGGGATGTAGGCGCTAGAGGGACGCGAGGATCTAGAGAATCCCGCGCTCAGAGCTCAGATAAAACACTAAGACTTGGGGTGGGGTCTCCAGAAGTGAGAGGAGAGGAAGGAGGGCAGAGAGAGGAATAGGGAGGAGAAAAACTCGCGGGGATCTCTGGGTGAGGGGTGGGCTGAAGAAGGTGTGACTGTTTACCTTCTTAAGAAATCAGAATGGGACCAAGTGAGAGGGGGCTCAAGGTATGAGGTAATGAAAGCAGGGGCGGGGGGTGGCGAATGATCCTCTATTATGTTTTTATTGAAACCGACCCCACATTTTCGGAGGGTCTCAGTGAACACGTAAGTCTGGGAAATAACACACTGCGGATCTGTGTCTTGATCTAACAGCTGTTGGCTGAATTTGAACAGCGTTGCTGATGGTCACGTAAGTTTAAAAGGATAGTATAAGTGAGCCTTTTTATTAGCTTACCTAAGCCATTTGGCCTCAGCTTTATATTTTGGAAAGGCTTGCGGAAAAGATTCCATCACTGCCTTTTATCCTTGTTCCTTTGCTCAGTTTAACCTGACATTCTTGACAGCATACCACGGAATTGCTAAAGATGAACAGGTTGCCGGTTCCTGGTGCCACATAAAGTTCGTCATTGCAAAAACTGTCTGTGTGTTTGTTTCTTTTCTGCGCCATGCCCTTTGCCTTTTGCTTCCTATTAGGTAGTAATATGCAACTGGGGTGACAAGCACTGTGACTTTTGTAAAAGATCTCCTTATTTTAAGTGGCAGTGCTCCTCTAACACACTCAGTGGGTGACAATAAGCAGAGGATATTTAGTTTGGTTCAGAATCACTGTCAGGACTGGGCATCTTCTTCATTAATATTCACCAGTGTAAGTTCCACTCAGAAAGGCTTAGCTGAGACATTAAGTGCTTATGCCCCTCACCACATAACTTTTAGTAGGTTAACCAAAGAAAGCTCTCACCAGGGAAAACTGGTATTGAACTAAACTGTGAGGGTTGGGAGTGGGGTGGGGGAAGAAGATGTTGCGCAGTGAGTAATCACTGAATTCCCAGTTTGCAGACAATCATGACCTCATACAAACAATGATGAAAAGAGACGTGGGTTCAGGACAGACTTTCAGATTTTCATTAAGAAGTTTGCATATGTACACACACACGCACACACACACACACACACACACACACATACACACACATGAATGCAGTAGAAAGGAGTTGTTGCCTGCATTACACATTTACAGACAGTGATAAAGGGCAATTAGCAAGCCCTACAGAAAATGATTTCTCCCATGATCATTTTGCAGCATTTAAATAACAACCAATATGGAGCAACCAATATGGTTCTTACAAAATAATATACTTCCTTTCATACCTTTCTGTTTGAAAATCACCTACAACTCCCTACCTCAAAACCATAGGTAGGGGCTACTCAATTTTCCTGTAATTTAATGAGGTAGGTTATGGAATATTTAATCATGTTTTTCATTCACTAAACTTATTCTTCTAGTCCTCTTGGAGAGGGAAGAAAAAAATTGCTCTATGCACGTAATTTCTCTTTTAATAGCACCTATCATCTACAGCAACAAGCCCAATGCAAATCCTGAAATTCAGAAGGTGGATAAGGCTTGTGATTGCAAAGTCGAGGTAGGATTTGGGTGTTTACAACACTGGCAGGAATTTTCTGTCTGCACAATATAGAGAAGGCTATTAACTCTTTTCTGCTTCTATGGCTTTTATAAATTTATTTATTTTCCCATGTAGCATTGTCATGGAAGACATTGATGACTTTTTCAGGTAATAAGATGACAGATTTTGGTGCAGTATGAATCCACAGGAAGAAGAAGGAAATGAGAACTAACATTTTGAAGAACCTCTAGGATGCCACGCAGGGATTCAAGAGCATTGCATATATGCATTATTTCCTATAATCTTCATAGCATTGCTATGAATAGGAAAGTATTATCTCCCATATTATTTTTTCCACTCAATTTCCTCCTCATTTCAAAATATCCTCTCATAAATTAATTTAAGACAAGGCAATAAGTAGTATTCCTTTGTGCTTACCTGGCTACCTGGAAAGAACATACGTATTTCTTTGGCAATAGAAATAAAAACTAAAAGTTCTGGGCTGGGGCAGAGCACTTGCCGAGCATGCACAAAGCCCTGGGTTTAATCCCCAACACTGCAACAAATTTTTTTCTTAATTTTAAGCCAGATATCTCTGACAATGTGTTGGTAATCCACTAAGGATTTAAGCAACTTGAGCACTTTACCCACTGTGGTTCACAGATGATGGTAGATTGCATTTCTGAAAAATAAATTCTAAAATTCTCTTAGATTTGCAGAATTCTCACAGCTATTTGGAATTTATTCAGTACTATTTCTTCATTTAGCTAGTAAATTTCCAAACCTCAGTAATAGTCTGAAATCTGAATGAATCAATTATTTTGCTGTTCAATTTTTTATTTCTTCCAAATAATAGCCATATAGGTCTCAAAAAAAAAAAATGAAGCACACAGAAAAATCTTGGGGAGAAATTATCAGCAACCAACATTAAGTATCCTCAGTGCCTCTTAAATTGCTCAAGGCCTGAAACTGAAGAAGGTTGCAGTTTGCTGAGCCCCACTGCAAAATAATAATTAAGTCCTTGTATCTAATGGCTCCCTTATTTCCAGACTATTTGGTTAAGATCATTAAAGTGTGTCTTACCGCTTCACTTATATAGCAGTAGATTACCTCATAAAACAAATATATATATATATACGAATGTGTATAAAACACTTGTATTGACATTATTTTAGGAGAAGATATGGTAAAGCTTATGGTCTAGTAAAAGAAATGCTTAATTATGTCTCATTAAGTAAGCAGTCATAAGTCAACTATGGAAACTTGATCATAAATTGGGTTAATCAGATATTATTATAATACAATAACACAGTAATATAATACATATTAATATGACAAATTATCATTTGTTAATTGTGAAACTGTTTAAAGTATTTTTGAATAATTGCATGAAGCAATATTTTATATTATCACTTACCACCATTACAAAATGCCTGTTACTTTTTCTATGTAATGCACTATTGAGTCTCAGAAGGAAATTACCAATAACCTTATCTAATGAGTGTTCAACCAGTTAGTCTCTCCATCACTGCTTTTCATCAAAACATTTTAAGATTTCTTCATATCCTGAGAGCACTGCTGCAGAACTCCCTAGAAATCTCTATTTTACATTCTTAATATTGCAGCTAGCAAAGAACTTGGAATGCATCATCATTTAACCAGACACCATCATATTTAATATTGATGCACAACCTCAAAAATGCTTTGGTAATTACCTCTGATATGTTAATGAACCCTTGGAATAGTAGGAGAAGGATTTCAATAAGATGCACATAAGCTGGAATCTTATGCTTGCTTTCCTCTACCCAGCATCTCTACTTCATCCTTCTTCTGATTCATCCTTCCAGATGAAGTTAAAACTGTACCATCTGCACTTTCCTAAAGATACTTGCAAGTTATAATACTATACATTTATCTGGCATTTGATATAATAATTAAGATTACCCTGATTTACAGATGTCCGGTTACATGGTCTAATTTGAGAAGCATTAGAAAAAGTCTTTTGACCCACAAACTGCTTTTATGGTGTTTCCTGGCATTTGAAATCCTACATTCAGGAATTTCCTTCTTTAATTTAAGCATTTTTTTTCTTTAAATACAAAGATCCACTTAGAGAGCTAACCTAATATTATTGCCCATTAATGAAGCATAAATACATCTACAGCTATCAGAAAGTCTTTAGAACTGCAGTATCTCATACAACAGCCAGCAGCCACACGTTGGCATTGAAATTTAATTGAGTTGAATCAGAAGATAAATCCAGTTTTCTCACAGACCACAATTCAACCAGTGCCTAAAGTTCATAGGTAATTATCATGACTGTAGGAAGATCATTGGACAACAGTGCACTAGAAAGGAGCAATCCTCAGCTTTTTCACTGCATTTCCTCTGCCTCCTTGCTTTAACCAAACCTGGTTTTCAACAGAGAAGTTCTTTTACTTCCTGACAGATATGCAAATTAGTTACTTCTTACCCTCCATCTTTCCCCACTGCATGAATCTTATTGCTTCTCTCTATATGTGCATGCTCGAAGTTGTGATTAAAATTGGCCTACTTCCTTTTCTAACCTTCAAATACTGGAACATATCTCTTTTGGTTTTATGCAAACAATCCTTTATTGAAGCTTACACCATTCCAATATTTCTTTTCTTAGTGTTCTACATTTATGTTGAAGTTGTTGACATCTGTTTCTTACTGTTCCATTTTTATCTTGTCATTCTATGGAGACTTCAGTGTCCAAAAAGATTGCCAAGTAACATTTTAGTCTATTTTCTTTTTCATTGCCACATCTACAGCGTATGACTTTCTAAAATTTTACATTCAGAATCAGTACTCTAAATTTTGACTTCCAGTGTCCTTACATTCCTCCTCTTCCTTTCTATTTACTCAATAACCTCACCAGTACTTTGGAAGGCCCTTCAGAAAGCTTCCAATAATAATGCCTTCTTGTGGCTTTACTTCCTATTCTTCCTAGTCTGACACTGCATCAGTCATGTCACTGTATGTCATCACACAGAATGAACACTCCTTGATGCCCACGTACTGCCCCATTTTAACCCTCCTCTGTTTGGGGTGAGTGTACCCTGTTTTCTACCTTGATTGCTGAGCATCAATGG